ATTTTTTTCCTGTTGATGCAGCACGTCTCTAAAATAAAATTTCACTTGACAGCGTTACATGAAATAATTTTTTTTTTTATTAGACCTACTTTGAATGACAAAACCAATTTATTTGATTACTAATATTTACTTTATAGGCTTTTATACTTTACTTTATAGACTTGATATGCTACAACCATATAAAACTTGCTCACGTTTTGCTCTGGTTTCCGCCTGTTCGCGTACACTGTAAAAAATATCTACCGTAAAATAACAGTCAAAAGTCCTCCAGGTCCTGAAGACCAATAGTGCTGATGTATATTTGCATAGCATGACAGGGACAGCCTTCGTTTAAACTTTGATGAATAGGGCAACACTATACATTCCCCAGCCACGTTACCTAATAACTGCCGCCACAGAAATGGATTTTTTTTAAGATCTTGTTGGTTGGCAACCATAAAGACACACTAATAAAGCTTTTTGTGGTCTAATAATGTAGTACTTTCCACGTAAGAAACCATATCAGGCCTCAAGAGCTATACACACACAGCCAAATAGACTACTTAGTTCATTTCTTGTGTTAAACCTATCCCTGCTCCTATTTATGATTGAACTCCCTACACAGTTGGCTGATTTCATAGCCAAAACAGAGTAGGTTTATTCCTGGCATGCACCAGCAATAGTCAGGTTGCTGATACTGATTCCCACTTCAGGCTACGTATCTAATAATACATGGGAGAGACAAATATCTGCAGCACTATATCTTCAGTTGCAGTGAGTTTCTAGACGTAGGTTTCCAAAATTCAAACCTAAGGAAGCTTCCGTTTTTAAGTTAAATCTATTTTTATGACTGCCACCCAAAAAGACTACGTGAGAATCCACATTTCTACATAGATATATTTTCACATTATGTTTGATATAAAAATTTACATTACTGTAAAAACATCAAACACTCCTATACATGTGTATTGAACATTTTATTTATATTGAACATGGTAATTTAACAGTTCACTATAAACATTAAACACATTAAACACACTACATCTGGTCAATGTGCATAAATGTTACAATTCTAATGCTACTGTGAAGCTCATCAAATAAAATAATAATATACGATAAGCTAACCAAAACACAAGTCATTTTAACAGTGAAATATTGTAAGTTTGTCTTTATGGCAGACAGCATTAAGAAAAAGAAAATACCACAAATTAGAGGGTCTGGTCTGGTTTCTTTTCTGTTATTATCTGCCCTGTT